GGGCTGGGAAGGTGGCTCAGTGGTAGAGTGCTTGCCTTGCATGCATGAGGCCCTGGGTTCGATTCCTCAGCACCACATAAGCAAAAAGAAGAAAGCCGGAAGTGGCGCTCTGGCTCAACTGGTAGAACGCTAGCCTTGAGCTGAAGAGCTGAGGGACAGTGCCCAGGCCCAGAGTTCAGGCCCCATGACCGGACCCAAAAAAAAAAAAAAAAAAGAAAAGAAAAGAAATAGTATATCCACGTGCCGGTGGCCCACGCCTATAATTCTAGCCACTTAGGAGGCTGAGATCTGAGCATCACAGTTCAAAGCCAGCCAGGGCAGGACAGTCCATGAGACTCTTATCTCCAGTTAGCCAACAGAAAACTGGAAGTGGCGCTGTGGCCCAAGTGATAAGAGTGCTAGCCTTGAGCTGAAGAGCTGAGGGACAACACCCAGGCCCAGAGTTCAAGACCTATAACCAACAAAAAAATATAGTCTATCATGAAGAAGTCAGATACTAATAGGAAGTACCTGAGAGTCCCATCTCATTTTTAGTAGGCTGGAAATAGGAAGAGGTGATACAGTCCTATAGACTATAAGTTTGTTAGCCCCAGAAAAGTAAATGGTGCACACTAGAGCAATAGGTATCCCCAAATAGCTGCAAGTTACATGTGCGGGTAGTGTTTCAAAAACAGCTAGGGCTGGAGGCAGTGAGAGGAAGACTGATGGGCCTTCTGAGCACAATGGTCAGAGATGGTTCCACGGGAAGGGCAGGAGGAGGGTAGGTTCTGGGAGAGGGATGAGAAATCAATAGATAACAATAGTAGACAACAGGGCTTGCGACATAAAACCTAAGGGATTGGAGAAGGTAGAGAGGAACAAAGATCAATTAGGTCCAGATTGAAAGCCCTTAAGGACTACCACCAAGCAATGTAAGTTTCATCCCACTGGTTACAAACCCACTGGCAGAAAGGACAATAGAGGGATAAAAACAAGCTTTAAAACAAGCTAGTCAGTGCCAGTGGTTCACACCTATAACCATAGCTACTCAGGAGGTTGTGATTTAGGATCAAGACTTCTAAAGAACCTGGCCAGAGGAAGGGGAAACAAAGGAGGAAGCAACAATGTTGATAAGAAATGTACTCATTACCTTGCTCATGTAATTGTAACCCCTCTGCACAGTATTTTCACAATTAAAAAAAAAAGAACCTGGCCAGAAGAGTCCTTGCAACTCATTTATAATTAGACAGCAAAAGCCTGAAGTGAAGGTGTGGCTCAAGTGGTAAGAGTACCAGCCTTGAGAGAAAAAGCTAAGGGACAGCATCCAGGTCCTGAGTTCAAGCCCCAGTATCAGCAAAAAGAAACAAACAAATACAATGGAGAAGAATATTGTCCAGTGTGGCAGTACATAAAGCTATATAAAACAGAATACCAGTATATAAAGCTACCATAATCATCTGGAAAGAGAGTGGTTCCATTTCCTAAGGGCCAGGATACAGAAGAGACAAGCACTGAGGGCCTACAGGAAACTCTGAGAAATGTCTTCACATTGTTAGACTTAATACCTCACTAGGTGAGGAGGGAGGTAAGGAGGGAAACTGACCAAGGGAATCATGTAGATAAAGAAAATCAGGGCTGGGAAGGTGGTTCAGTGGTAGAGCGCTTGCCTTGCATGCCTGAGGCCCTGGGTTTGATTCCTTAGCACCACATAAGCAAAAAGCAAAAAGCCAGAAGTAGCACTGTGGCTCAAGTGTTGGAGCTCTAATCTAGAGCGGAAGAGCTGAGGGACAGCACCCAGGCCCAGAGTTCAGGCCCCACAACTGGAACAAAAAAAGAAAAGAAAAAAAAGGAAAATCAGCCCTCCATCAATGTCATGTGATGCTCCCCTAAACTGAAAGCTGCCATCTTGAGGTACAGGACGGTCAATGAAGCTAGCCAGTACCAGAGTAAGATGGCTTCCCCTTTGCTCCCTAACTCTCCATCTCTACAAGGCCAGAAAGGAAGTACAGATGCAGTAGAGTCCCAAATAAACATTTAAAGGTGAATTCCCTACCACATTCACCATGCAAAGCTTCCAAGTTTCATCAAAGATTCTGTAATTTCCAGGGCATTTTTCAACTTTCCAGTGCTCACACTCATTCTGTCCAGATGGCAGAATTAAATTATTTCTAACATCTTAGAGCCCAAAGGAACTTTAAGAGACCCACCCAGTCCAGGCTCTTCACAATGTGAGAGGAATGATGTGATGAACATTGTCATTGGAGAGAGATGCACAAATCCAATCAGGAGCTTAGCCCACCCAGGATGGCAAGCTTTAGGATAGGTTTGCGCTCGGCTCGTGCTCTCTCTCTCTCCCTCCCTCTCTCCCTCCTTCTCCCCCTCTCTCTTCCCTCCTCTCTGTTTCCTTCCCTCCCTCTTTCTCCCCCCCTCCCTCCTTCCCTACCACCCCATCTCTCTCTGTCTTCTCTGTTGTGGTGTCTGAACTCAGGACCTGGGTGCTGTCCCTGAGCTTTTTTGCTCAAGACTAGCACTCTACCACTTTAAGCCACAATACCACTTGCAGTTTTCTGGTGGTTAATTGGAGATAAGAGTCTCACGAACTTTCCTGCACTAGCTGGCTTTGAACTGCGATCCTCAGATCTCAGCCCCCGGAGTAGTTTAGGATTACAGGCGTGAGCCACCAGCACCAGGCTGAATCCCTAGGATTCTAGGAGGACCTCAACACCTTGACTGATCTTTGTACAGTTGCACCTCAACAATACATTCAAATGTACCTACATATTGGGCATGGAAAGGGGAAAAGGCCAGTTTACTCTTGGCCCTAGATCTCTCAGTAGAGATTCATCTGCACTGCTCACATTCCAGAGCCCTAAATCAGAATAGGGCTTTTTGCTAACTCAGGGAATCTACCTTGAACCCAGAGACACAGAGAAAACAGATGTCTACATGGTGGGGGAGGGGGAGAAGAAAGGACTATTGCCCCCAACACCCCTCAGAGTCTCTCCAACCTCAGTGAACAGACTTCATAAATATTCATCAGCTCATTTGCATAGCAGCTGGCAGAAAAACCTCACCTTCCTCCCCTAAAGTGTGAAAGGAAAAGGGGCTTGATGAGATCTGCATCCCTGACCCCAATCCTCCACACTGGTACTTTCTTAGTATCCTCCCCCTAACTGGGAAAACATGGTCTGCAGGAAGCCCAAGAAAGTACCAGGGATTACAAGGAGTAGCATTGTAGACAGTGAGAATGAAGCCTGAAGCCAGGTACAATGCTAGTGATACCCTACAAGGAACCCAATAAGCTTCCCTTTTCCTCAACTGGTTAGGAATAGGAGTAGGAGAGAAGAGGCAATCTGTAATTTAAACTTTAAAAAGTCTAAGTTCATTTCAAAAACCCACATTTCAAAAACTACTAACCCCCCCCCTCCATCAAGCCAAGCT